TTATGATACAAATATGTTCATTCGGACTGTTTTCCAAAACACTGAGCAATTCTCGAAAGCGCACACATAAACCAATGAAAAATCAATCAAATTCAACCAAATAATCTATTTTTGCATTGCTAAACTGAAAAATTCATCAGAATTCACCTCAAATGTTTGGAAAATATTCGTCGGATCACACGTGGAAACGCTTGCCACAACAACGATTACCTCTCGACTTGCATGACCCGGAAAATGTCTGCAAAATCAACACTAATTCATAACTTCTTTTCAGAGTTCGACCGAACGCTTTCGAACAATCATCATGAAAATACAACCTCGGCAAACATGTCCAACGCATAATGAACAATAAATATACATGAGAACACGATATGCTGCTCATAGCCAGTTACGTGAACACACAATCACCTGTGCACAACATTAGAATCCGACTTTCAACTCCAACAAAAAGACTGTGGCTGTCCTCAGAATAAGCTTCACAAATGCAAACAAACTGCAAACAAACTCACTTCAGGTTTTTCAGTGCCATCAATAGACCGTTCTGTAGAGAGAATTCACCATGACACGACGCTTGATTTATGGTTGATAGCACATCTCGCACAGCACGAATGCTACCTGCAATTGAACACAAGACTGATATTTCTCTGATATTATCATCACTTCAAACAATACGATCAAGCTTATTGCATATTCTATCATATGAAAGTTTCAGAGGATAAACACTTGAAAAAAAACAAACAAGCTATAATGATAGAAAACTATTCGTCATTAGATGATGTTCACCTGTGAGTTGAATGAGGCGCTCAGCTCGTTTATCTTTACATATAATGACACCAATTTGTGAGATTGGATTTTGCTCGGAAAACTTCTCCAGAAATCGACTCAAAATCTACATCAATTCATTTCAATCGTTCAACATCAAATTCAAAAAAAAAAATCATACGACTTCGCACCAATAATGCGAAATGAATTTAGATGGTTTCAGTTTTTGTGAAGAATTTGTTAAAATTCAACAAATCCTTTCATCCCAAACCAACAATCGATTACAATTACTGAATCAATTCTCCAGTCACTAATTCAGCGTCTCTTCTTCATTAACTAAATCGTCGATCACATTCACAATCTATCAAATACTGCGAATAAGTTTTCTTGCATGCTAAGTACAACACGACACAGGTCCATTTCATGAGAGCGATAGAATAATCAAAGCAAAATGAACGACGTGAACAAATCAGATCTATTCATCAATACCTTTAAAGTAACGCTAATTTTTGAGGGTAGCAATGTCTTATCGGTCATTGCCATAGAACAATCGATCACAATATAAACATATCGCATCTGAAATGATACTTTTCAAGCAATTTATCCAGCAATCCGTAAAATCCGATTGCAAAAACTACCATAAAATCACATTGTAAGATTGTTATATGCATCAGAAACAAAATAAAGTGAACGTTTCACATGATCCTTTAATCCTAAACCTAAACCATTCATCTTCTAAAACTTTCATATGATCAAGAACAAATAAAATGAAGTTAACGATTCATATATCACTTCATGCATACAGGAAAACGCAATATGAAAGCAAAAAGCAAAAATTATCAACTGATTGATGAATTCCACCAAATTGAACCTTGAAACATTTTACAGATACACGAGAGCAATATATTCGAAAGTAAATGAAACTGGCATGGGCAAATTTCGACAGAAATATGCGTAATTCCTGAATGGATAATCGAGAAACTAACAATGCCGAGTCGAACCCTTGCTGGTCTGTCCGTAAGACGTCGTTTTCGTTTAGCATCAAAAATCAGTTTGGCCACTGATTTTTCGACCGAGCCACTGTCGTCCTCTTCGAGGACCTCACGAATGTTCAAGGCTAAACGAATTATTTCATTGATACAAGATTCGCAATACTATTGCCCAAAAAATCAAACAGAAATTTCCGAGCACTCATCGAATGCCACTGTGCATCAATAACTGCTTCCACTGCAGTCACAAATGTGGAAATGATGAATAATTTAAAGAAAATGATTAATTTTAGATCAAAAATAGAAAAAAATAAACTCACCATCTGCATAAGCTGCCTCCCAGGTGTATCCTTTTTGCTCCTCATCATCGTTTATATCCGCACACATTGTTGTTGCTTCTTCGTCTGACTACGAGATCACAGCGAAGCTGAGAAAAACACTGAAAAATTCTCTTTTAATTGTTTATTTCGATGATTACAAATTCGGCCTGAAACAGACACGATAGTGAAAATTTCAGACTTAAAGGGTTCGAACCTTTTTTTCGAATTGACATACAATTTACTTGTCACATATACGGACGAATCAATCATTGATAATGATGCAATGAAATGATAGAAATGAAGACAATCATTGAAAGCAGACAGAATGAAGAATTCAGGAGAATTTGCATGTCGTATGGAAGAATTTTATGAGCCAAAAACATTGGCTTTAGCTTAAAAGCCTGTTTTTTTTTTTTTTTTTGCATTGGGATACAACGAAATTCGAATGAATTAAACATGAACGGGAAGTTGATGCGATGAATGGAATGAAAATCAAATCGTTTCACACTTCCAGAAATCACACCATCATCAAGTTGTTACTCTATTCGAATCGAGACGATGACTGAATTGTGAAAAATCACGGGGAGTGTAATCTTGCCGTATTGGTCAAGGAAAAAGTGGGTGAGGTCTAACACACACAGAACACACACTCAGCCATCGAACGCATGAAGACATTCTGCCACAGCTACTTTCGCATATGAGCAACTGCTTTCTGGAACATTGAAAAGTAGAATATTTCAACAGAAATTAACTCAGTTTGAGTAAATAAGCATGCTTAGAGCTAACTGTAATCCATGTAACGAGAAATAAACCAATGATAACAACTGGGTAGAGTTTGGATGCATATTACGGATATAATCAGTTTACCGGAGGTGAAAAATAGAATACAATCAAGAATTATAAATTTCTACTCGAAGCTGAAGAGTACTGACCTAGTGTGCACTAGAAGTCGCTCAGTATAACGCAATTTCGTTTTAGGCTTCTGAATGTACTGCGTCAAAAAGTAGTCATTTAACCCCGGGGGTATTACTGCTGTTGGTTGCGTTAACTATGGGCGTGGCTAGGTACCGTAGTCGTTTAATCCCGGTAGTACTACTCTTGTTGGTTGCATTAACTGTGGGCTTGGCTAGTTACCGTAGTCGTTTAATCCTGGGGGTGCTATTCCGGTTGGTTGCATTAACTGTGGGCGTGGCTAGTTACCGTAGTCGTTTAATCCTGGGGGTGCTATTCCGGTTGGTTGCATTAACTGTGGGCGTGGCTAGTTACCGTAGTC